TTTGAAGTTGTTATCCTAAAGTGACGCAACGCTCGCGGAAGCCAGACTACAGGCTAGGTACCCGTTTTTTGCTCTGTAAAAATTGTAAATATATTTGAGCTACAGTTCCGGGAGCTAGAACTATTTTTTAGTAAATTTCTTCATCTTTTTTTTCAAATTTCGAATATCTTCAATATTTTTCGAGATATTAAACAAAAACAAACCCCCACTTTTTTCACTTATTAATTGTTAATAACTTTAGTAATTTTTTTCAGCGCTTTTTCTGACTTCTTTAACTTTCCTTTTCTCTTTTTTGTCAAACTGTTATTATTTATCAGCTAAACCTTTTCCTCCTTTTGATTTATATCCTTAGATTTTGTGATTTTTTTCAGGTATGTTTGTGGTATGCTTATGCTTTGACTGATATCGTCCGATTTTCTGTGTTTTTTAATCAGATTTCCGTATTTTTATATGTGTGTAAACCGAACAACCGAGCTAACGAACTTAAAAACTAACGAATTACCCTGAATTACCAGGGCCGGACTTAACGAAGTTGCCGCCCCAGGCCAAAAAAAGTTTGCCGCTCCTTAAAATTTTTTTTAATTAACAAAATTACGGATAAAAAAAACATTTATTTGAATACAGGACCAACAACAGAATAGACCGACAGAACAGATCAACACAGAACATAAAATAAATATTAAAATATTCATATAAAATGAAAACATACGAACAACAAAACATTAGGTTTGCTTATATGCCTATAAAGGTTTTCTACGTACTTTTTTGTACCCAAAATTATCAATTACTTCATCGTAATTGATAGTTTTTAATATAGGATAGGTCGGACTCAATATGTAAAACTGCCAAATGATTTAGATGTTCTGTTTCCATAGTGGACCGTAAATAAGTTTTAATACGTTTCAATGCAGAAAACGAGCGTTCGGCAGAACAGTTAGTAATAAAAGTACATGTGAAGATTCTTAATGCTATGAAAGTATTTGGAAACAGGTCTTGAGCGTTTTTTTCATAAATTACTTTAAGAAGTTCTCTAGCAGATGGTTTTGCTGACTTAATGCATTTTATAAATTCACGAAAATGTATTAATTCATTAGGCATTGGCTCATCTAAATCATTTGGATAACAGGTTATTAAATGTCTGGATTTATCGGTAATGTCGTCAATACTTAAAGTAGATTTAATTTGGTTGAAAAGTCATTGTAGGCACTTTTCCTGTAGGAAATTTCAAGGATTAATTTATCAATAATAACATTAAATACATTTATCCTAAAATCGTCACTAGTGTTAAATAGAGTTTCATTATCACTGGTTCATCAAATTGTTTCTGCTTCACTTTTCTCTTTTTATCTGCCGCATATTCTGTCTCACCGAACAATTCTATGGCCCTTCTTTCATATTCCTCAAATGATTTAGTATTATCTATATTTCTAATTTCAGAAAAATATTTTTCCCATAAGCTATATAAATCTGCAGCAAGTTGTAGATCAATATCTACCATTTGAAGCTTTTTATTGACCGCATCTAGTCTATTTAAAAAAAATAATAATAGTTAAGTAAATAAATATGTAATCGGCTAAGGCTATATTCGAAATATTTTATGAACAAATAAAAGTTAAAAAAAAGATAAATATTTTGGTATGCTCAAAATTTGCCGCCCCTAAAAATCTGCCGCCCCAGGCCCGGGCCTAGTTGGCCTAGGCCTAAGTCCGGCACTGAGAAATACCGAACTATCCGTAATTTGTAGTCTATGTGTTATTCTGATATACAGGGTCGCTGTTATGTATGGAAACGGTCGATTATTAGGTAAAATACAGGAGGTACCGCAAAAAGTTAAATAGAAAAGTTATAGGATTTTCAAATTTCTATTAGCGAGTAATAAATTTAAGTATACAGGGTCGGTCATAAAATGGTCGGTCAGGTGTGGCACATCAAAATTTCATTTTTTTAAATAGAATCCCCTATATATTAGTGCAAATTTCAACTATTCCTTCAATTCTGTGCAAAAATCAAAATACACACAATGTACCTCAAACCAGCCGTTTCCGAGTTATTGACTTTTGAACATATCACTTATAGTCGAGTAAAAACGATATAAAAATGTGTAAAAATATTTTTTGGAGGTATAACTACATGCTATCTATACAGGATTATCAGTTAGGGCTTTGTGCATGTGAAATGACTAATTACGACCTTTTTGGAGGGGTCAGAAATTTTTTATCTCGGAAAATGCCAAAAATCTGTCATAAATGTATAACCATGTTTTTTTACCCTTCCTACGCGATAACTCCTAAACTAATCAACTTATTCGATACTCTTTTTTTTTAATCGATTGGGAACACATAGGCGGTGATAGCTGAGGTAATTAAAGTTCCATAATGAGCGTATTGAGCGTATTTTTTTTTTTGGAAAATGATTAAACTTCAAACATTAACTTTATTGTATCATGGTTTTTGGTAAGCGAGAAACTTTTTTATTTGAAGGAATTTTTACATAGTATCTGCGTATGAAATAAAGAAAAAATATTGAAAAAAAATTTAAAACTTGTTACAACCTTCTATTACTAACAGTTTTATAGTTATCCTAAATTAGATATATAGAATTGGCCGCGCGCGAGACCGATCGGCGCTCGCGCCTATACAGGGTCCGGCAAGAGTGCGTCGGGCATCTGTAGCTCCTAGAATAAAAAAATTGAGAATTTTGTTTAAGTGCAAACCTAAAGTATGTACCAGGATGTATTTCAGGAAAATATTTTAACTTCTATAGGGTGGCTCAAAAAAGTGTGAGTGGACCTGGATGATTTTTTTTTAAATGGAACACCCTGTATATTATTGCATTTTTGGCTTCCTTTCAGATCACTTTACATAACCCTAAGATATGAATAAATATATTTTGATAATTTCAGAGATATTAAAAAATAAATCAAAAATATATATTTTTCAGCCCTTCTTAAAAAAATTATTAAAAATACAAGAACTGTTCTGAAATCAAAACTATATTAGGAATTTACTTTAGATGGTCTGTACTTACTTTGCAATAAATATGAAAATCGTAAGTTATACAGGATGTTCAAAACTCTACGCCAAACTTTCTAAAATAGGAAATAATTTTTCTTCGTTTTTTTAAATGGAACACCCTGTATATTATTTTTTCAATTGACAGAGAATTAAAAAATGAACATTTTTTGTATTTAGAGTATTTTAAAATTTTTAACGGTTTCGCAGATATATGCGGTTTTATATTTCAGATGGCATTTTCCATAGTAAATTTTTATCAAAGCCACCCAATGATTTTTCTCGCGTATTTTACCATTGAAAGCGCCATATGAAATAATACTGCGTGTATCTGCGAAACCGTTAAAAATTTTGAAATACTCTGAATACAAAAAATGTTCATTTTTTTACTCTCCATCTAATAAAAAAATAATATACAGGGTGTTCCATTTAAAAAAAACAAAGAAAAAATATTTTATATTTTGAGAAAGTTTGGTGTAGAATATTGAACATCCTGTATGATTTACAATTAACATAATTATAGCAAAGTAAGAATAGACCATCTAAAGTAAACACCTAATATAGTTTTGATTTCAGAGCAGTTCTTTTATTTTTAATATTTTTTTTTAAGAAGGGCTGAAAAATATATATTTGTGATTTATTTTTTAATATCTCTGAAACTATCGAAATATATTTATTAATATACAGGGTGTTCCATTTAAAAAAAATCATCCAGGTCAACTCACACTTTTTTGAGCCACCCTATAGAAGTTAAAATATTTTCCTGAAATACATCCTAGTACATACTTTAGGTTTGCACTTAAAGAAAATTCTCAAGTTTTTTATTCTAGGAGCTATAGATGCCGGACGCACTATTGCCGGACCCTGTATAACCGCCCCGAGACTCGATTTTATTTAGTGGGAGAGCTGACGCGAAGTTCCGTAAGCCTATTTCTGATTATGTGCATTGTACCTGCAGTTTGAAATTTAGTAAATTCTGTACGTTATAAATTATTTAGTTATGGACTGTTTAATTTGCAAAACTATAAACGAAAATGATAAGTTTTTTATTAAAAATCCTACTATACGAGACCTAAAAACTATTATAAATGCTGCGGAAAAAAAGCAAGACGTCTATGTATTTATTAAAGTTTATAACCGCTTATGACCATCAAAAATCGTCCATTTCTATTATTATTTATTAAAGTTTATTTTTATTAAGGCCGACTCTGACGACTCGTGTACTTGTATACAAACATTTGATAGTGGGATATACTTTCTATGATGGTGTGAGTGGTTTCTCGTGCAATTATTTGTCACTCGCCGCGTATAGCGTGAGCGTCAAGCTTGTTGCAAAAAAATGTTGTTTACAAAAATTGTATACTTGCCAAGTACGCAAATATTGGCGTAGGGGAGAGTCCGATAATCGTGCGCAGCCGGCTAATTGTGCGCATCCCTTTACTTTCGCAACCAGCTATGATAATTTTAAAACAGTCATTCAGGCGCCATCTCTTAGCACACCGATGTACTACTATATGTGCGTTTGGTAGATGGCCTCGCTTTACTTTACCAGAACCGCTGCTTTCTTGTTTACATTTGCAGTGCTCTAATAACTGTCACCAATAAAATAAGCCGTAAGTATTTTAATTTTTACATTTTTTAAAACTGTTTATAGCAGTAAATAGCTTAATGTGTCCCACTGACGCTGATATATGTAGTTTAGCCAAAAAATTTGTTTTTATATTTTAACAAAATTTAGAAAAAAAATCTGTCACTGTCGGTTAATTGGGCGCAGTGCGCACGATACTACAACATACTGGTCGTGATGTTGTAGGACCACATATTGGCAGGAATTGTGTCTTTTCACCCGACCAAGAAAAGGCCTTAAAAGAGCATGTTCTGAAATTGGCTAAACTTTATCATGGAATGACTAAGGTCCAACTTAGAAAATTAGCATTTTCCTTTGCGGAAGCAAACCAACTAAAACACACTTTTAAGGCTGAATTAAAAATGGCAGGAAAAGACTGGTATTATGGATTTCTGAAGAGAAATCCAGAAATATCACTAAGAAAACCGGAACCCACTAGTATCAATCGAATTGCTGCTTTCAACAAAGATCAGGTCACAACATTCTTTCAAAACCTTAAGAAATTATACGACAAATTCCAATTTAAGTCAGATGCCATATATAACGTCGATGAGACCGGGATTTCTACGGTACAGAAGCCATGCAAAAGACTCGGGCCTAAAGGAGTTAAGCAATTTGGTGCTAAGACATCTGGGGAAAAAGGAAAAACAGTCACTGTTATCTGCTGTTTTAATGCGTCTGGAACATGCTATGTGTCACCGATGACACCGATGTTCATATTTCCCCGAATCAGAATGACAAATACCCTAACCAACAACGGACCTCCTAATGCAGCTTTTTGTTGTTCAAAAAGTGGTTGGAGTAATGAAGAGCTTTTCTACAAGTGGCTAGAACACTTTAGGAAAACCGTAAAACCATCAAATGAAGAACCAGTTTTATTGCTTATATATATCATTATATCAGATAATCATTCCAGCCATATTTCTTTGCAAATTTTTGACTATTGTAAACAAAATGGCGTTATTCTGCTAACGATACCTCCACACACTTCCCATAGACTTCAACCATTGGACGTAAGTTTTTATGGTCCCTTAAAATCATCGTTTAACAGGCAACGTGATTATCACCTACCATCGACTGAAAGAATTACCCAGTATGATTTAGCCAAAATATTTAACAAAGCCTATACTGTTGTTGCTACAATGGACAAGGCGCAATCAGGCTTTAGGGCAACTGGAATATGGCCTTATCAACCAGATAAATTCTCCAATGAAGATTTTTTACCAGCCACATACCAACTTCCAGTTGTAATTGACGATGAATTACCCTCCACTTCGACCTCATCTCAAACCCAAGATATAATAGCACCTCTTAAAATAGACTATCCAAATGGCCACTATACTAAAAAAAATGATTTAAACGACCTGCCCACTGTCAAAGATACTGATGCAGCCGTCCCCAGTACATCTACCTTTCTAGAACAGTTGAGTCCCCTACCAAAACCAAAAACAGTTAAACAACAAAGTCGCGCTAAACAGAAATCAGAGATTTTAACAGACACTCCAAATAGAGAAAAATTGGAAACTGCTGCAGAGAAAAGGGCAATAAAGCAAAAGAAATTAGATGAAAAACAAGAAAAAAATAAAAAAGGCCCTAAATATACTGAAAAGAAAAAAAAGGGAACAAAAAGAAAGGTCTTTGATGAAAGTAGTGATTCTGACATTTCAGAGACTGAGCTTTGTAACGATGATGAGTTAGAAGATCTTGAAGATATTGAATCGGATGACAATGAGAGATGTGTTATTTGCGGGGAAGGCAGTATAAAAAACGAGATGTGGTTTAAATGTTCGATCTGCAAAAGATGGGCACACGCCCTGTGCACCGGAGAGGATATATTTGCGACTTTTGTGACACCTAGATTTGTTATTATTTTAATTACCTATACTTTTCATTTTTGGGTTTAGTTTAGTTCTTAAACATACGATAATGTATTTTTGCTGTGAAAAACAAATAAATATGTTATTAAGTTGTGGTATTCCTTTCCTATTTTAATATGCGCACGATTACCCCACCTGTGCGCACTATTAGCCTCATAGGTTGGGTAATTGTGCGCAGTGTCAATTTTTTGTATTTTGCATTTTTAGGACACTATGTGCATTCTTAATTAATCTGTACCAGATATTATAACAGTCAAATCCTTGAAGAATGTCGACGACAAACGAGGAGTTTTAATCTTTTGTCACTTCAGAAATATCGTAATATTGGCTTAGGTGCGCACCAATACCCGACTCTCCCCTACTTGCCAAGTACACGAGTCGTCAGAATCCGACTTTATATACTTTATTTTGTACGGAAAGCTGACTGGATATGATGCTAAATACCACAACGTTTGTTTATATAAATAATCCCAAACAAATCAAGGCTAAATTAACAACATTTTTAATTAAGAAAGCATACTATACATTGAATGAATTTTTCACTGACTTAGATAAGCATTTTTTATAATATCTCTTCCCGCTTTTATTGTTTATGAAAAAAATGTTGTGCTGTTTTCTTGGGTGCTTTTTTTAAATAATTATAGTTTTTGTGTTATAGATAGCATTTATAGCATATTTCACATGTAGGTACTTTAATTTCTAATTCTATGTTAAAATTACTTTTAGTAAAGTTTTACGCATTTTAATTGAAAGTATATTTATTTTTAGTAAATATTTATTTTTCGTCATACTATATTGTTATATTATTATAACATAAGCAAAATCAGAATGGAAAAGATGCATATAACGTCCGCCGGACGTTATCATAACGGCCGGCGACCGTTAAGTTTCTAAGGTAATCGTAACGTCTGTCACCTGCAACAATGACTATTTATTGTCAGTTGGACTTTTCAAAAATTGGGAAAATAGACCATAGCGAGATGTCGCGAGAAATTCCGTTGGAAATACAGGAGGAAGCGGCTGCGGCTACTCAAAATTTACTTCCGACTATAACCAAGAGAGATATCAGCAGGAATATGACAATTTTTGAAGTGGCGGCAGGATAGAAGTATAAACAGCGTAAATGAAGCGGTATTGCTGGCTTATGCTAAAGAATGTCTGAAATGTATTCTCCTACATCACTGTGGACAAAGATATCCATGCTGAAGCTTGCGTTGAGAGTATATGAAAACATCGACATATCAAGGTAAAAAGCCATTATATTCTTCGATATTTAATCATACTCATCTAAATTATATTTGTTCATAGATTTGGTAAACTGTTCATGTTTCTGAGGCGCAAAACGAAGGTTATTCACAAAAAGCCAAAGTTCTGTCGGAGAATGACATAAATAATTTTCTACTGGATGCCGATGATTACACCTGGTTACTCGAAAAATTGTATTGGTGCTTGGTATTCTTGGAGCTTGTAGGCGCAGCGAGCTTTGGTCACTCACAGTTGATGATTTCGAAGATTCGGAGAAAAATATTCTTGTCTCATTAAGAAATACTAAAAATAAGAAAGATAGGAAATTTCTTATTCCAAAACGGGCCTTCCGTTTGATGCCTATGGTTTATACAAAAATACATCAACCTGCGTCCTCGTAACTTTGACAATCAAAATTTTTTCATTGGTTACAAGAAAGGCAAGTGTGTTAAGCAAATCGTCGGTATACATACCATCAGGAGCGTACCGCAGAAAATTGCAAAATTTTTGAACTTGGAGAATCAGAACGTTATACAGGGCATTCATTTCGTAGATCATCAGCAACCATGCTCGCCGAAAATGGTGGTGATTTACTATCGCTAAAGGAGCTAGGAGGATGGGAGTCTTCAACAGTGGCAGAAACTTACATAGAAAAATCAGTTTCAAAAGAATGAAAATAACAAATCAACTTTTTCATGATAGCTCCAAAAAAATAATGTGTCTTTAGTGGATACAAATATTTGCCATTCTTCAGTAGCATCATCTTCTTCTATAAAATCTGTAAATCCCTGGGAAGGATTACAGATTTCTAAGAACAACAAGTGCACTTTTAATTTCCATGTTCATTATCATGAAAAATGAATTTTAGTATAAGACATTATGTATTTTTTATCCTTACTTGTGTTATTGTTCAATAAAATTTGTTATTAAATAGTAGTGTTTATTGCTCTAAAAAATCTGCAGTATGACGAAAAATCTAGAACGCAACACGGCCGATAACAAATAACGGCCTTGGCTGCTTATGATCCTCGGCTATCGCCTCGGATCACAAACTTCAGCCCGGCCGTTATTTGTTGTTTATCGGCCTTATTACGTTAATAACTATAATATTAAATGCGATATACATACCTATGCATATATTTTTATTCAACTGTAGTCATATAATGTAAGTATTATTGGTTTTTAGGCTTAAGTTAATTGACGTTTTTACAAAGTCATTATGTTATGAAAAGTTTTCCTATTTTGTTAAAAGTTTAAGTATTAAAGAATAGCCAGGTTTGCGGGAGGGTGTTAATGTATGTAACCCAATATACAACTACAAACCTGTCTGGTCTTTAACCGTGGCAACACTGTTTTCTGTATTATTAGTGGTGGTAATATTAAGCAAGAAGATGTAACAAGCCACTCTTTTTTTGTCCTGATTAGTTGATAGTTTGTTTAATGATTATATATTGTTATTTGTTTCTTTAATAAATAAACCACAAAAACCAACAAATATATTATACTTGCCATTTATAAACAATCAACCTACCGAATGTGATACCATAATATATACTTCGATGGTGAGATTAGTAGATTTATTAGCTAAAACATTAAAACAAAATATTTATATAACAGCACACTTGGTAATTTATTCAAAAGCTCGCGAAATATTACAGAATAATCCTAAATTATTACATGGGAAATTAACATTTATGCTAGGCGGAATGCACCTTAATCTGGCGTTTTTTGTCAGTATTGAGTATATTCTTGGAGATGGAGGCCTTTTTTCCATTTTTACGGAAACAGATAATTACGTCGAAAATACTTGTAAAATGATGTAGGATAAAAAATAATATTCCAGGGCTAGTCGAGGACTAACTTTAGTTGCCTATGCTCTTTTTAGGCTTTTGTTTAAATCTTTATGTAAGTGGTATAAAGAGCAAAAGCAGAAAACACAAATGATAATACCTACATATATATTAAAAGAAGAAATTCGTAGTTTACTAAGAGTTTCAATCCTATGCAAACTTCAAGATATGTCCTTATTATGTAATAAAAATAATGTAATCATGTTTTCATAAAAAAATACTACAAAAATATGTTATATTAAATCGACACCTACATATATGGGCTGCTCAGATATTAAATAATTACTTTAAAGAATTACTTTCTTTAAAGTAATCATAAATCTTACTTCTTTTACTTACTAAAAGAATTTTCTACATTTACTCTAAAACATAAATTAATGCCACATCTAGCACGCCGTACAACGTATGCAGGCAGGGCGGTATAGCGCGGCGTCTAACTACAGCGCGCGCACGTGTACTGATAACTTTAAATCAGAATAACTATAAAACTATTAGTAATAGAAGGTTGTAACAAGTTTTAAAAACTTTTTCAATATCTTTTTTTTTATTTCATACGCAGATATTATGTAAAAATTCCTTCAAATAAAAAAGTTTCTCGCTTACCGAAAACTATGATACAATAAAGTTAATGTTTGAAGTTTAATCCATTTTCCAAAAAAAATACCCTTACTATGGAACTTAATTAATTACTTCAGTTATCACCGCCTATGTGTTCCCAACCGATTAAAAAAAAGAGTATGTGAATAAGTTGATTAGTTTAGGAGTTATCGCGTAGGAAAGGTAAAAAAACATGGTTATACATTTTTGACAGATTTTTGACATTTTCCGGGATAAAAAATTTCTAACCTCGCCAAAAAGGTCGTAATTAGTCATTTCACATGCACAAAGCTCTAACCGATCATTTCATAACGAGTTAATGTGGTTATACCTTAAAAAATTCACAGATTTTGCAACATGCTCAACCATCATAGGCGTATTGAAAATACCAGACACAAGTCGGCGGTTGGCAATCACCTGTTTTTTTACATTTTATATTAATTTGTGACGTCATTTGGAAGAGCTCAATAGAAATATAAAAGAACTAAACCTTGTTTGAAAAGAATTTGACATTCGTGACGTCAGCACTCCAGCAGTCTATGGTGCATTCAGACCTGACGAGCCGAGCGCGAGACGAGAGTAAGACAAGAGCGAGACAAGAGCGAGACGAGAGCGAGACATTTTCTATCCATTTTTTACGCAAACCTGCCACGAGACAAGCCGAGTGGGATCATAGTGAAAGGAAGCCAAACACATATTAAATTGCAATTGAATATAACAAACGATAGCCAAATAATAACGCATACAGTAATAAATTTTTGTATCTTTAATATGGTATTCGGTCTTTAACATGGTATTCATCGTCGGTTTTCCCCTTTTTGGCTGTTTTTCCCTTTATCCCTTACTTTTTTACATAATACGTTTTTTAATATTTTTAGAACAAAATGTTAAATAGAAAAGTTATTGGTAAGGTTAAGAAGCACATTTTAACATTAATATAGAGTATACAGGGTACTTCAAAAAAGTGTTGCGGATATAACATATTTTCTAAAGGGAATACCCTATTTTTTATTTTATTATTGGGTTATACATACGTACAATTCGGTAACTTTTCTTGCATTTTTTGATATTATATATCTAAAATTAATAGATGTTGTAATAATTCTATTTGTTTAAAGAAATGTTGGATTTCGGTAGGGTAAAAATTGTCAGTGACGCAAAATTTGTAAATTCTATCAGAAAAAATGATAATACATACAGTGTACGATTTAAAAATTTGAGATTACTTAATTTTAAACATTCGAAATTTATAAATCATACCTAATATCTCGCAGTCGGGCGAGCCTACCAAAAACACGTCCAGACTTTCGAGCTTTCTTTGATCGGCCGTTGAAAAATCGACAGGGGACGGATAGCAACGAGGCTCTGTGGGTTGACTCGCGAGGCTCCCGCGAGACTCGTCCACACAGCGAATTTGGAATGTCTCGCGCTCGTCTCCATAGGTCTGGACGCACCATAGTATCGCTGATCGCCATTCGCAAATATATTCCAGATACGCATAGTGAACAAGTTCGCAACGTTAAATAATTTTGATATTTAATTTTTATCGTGATGGCTTTTTATGAAATGATATTTAAGTATAAAAAGGTGCCCATAATGTGAGTACCGGTATTGACGGTTTTTTGTTATGAGGAAAATAAGCAGCAAAATATATTATCGATTGCAGCAACTATGTATACCTAGTTTACATTCAGTATGTCCAATTAATATGGAATATTATACCTATATATGCTTTTAAACATTTTCTACCATTATATTTTGATAGTTGAGTTTTTGAAATTATTTGTTAGCTTCTTAAACAAAACAGACCCATAATAATTAAAATCTTTATCATCCAAGACTTTTAACAATTATGAAGTACCTAATCTCACGTCAAATTTTTACATGTCTTAAGTATTTGCAAAGTTAACAAAAATATTTCTTTGCATACCTTGCAATTAATATATTTGGTCTAATTTATCAGTTCTGCATCATATCTGAAATTCAGATTGTCAAAGAGTCAACGTGCAACGTGAAAGACAAGAAAAATGGCAAGTAAAAAAAAATGTAAAGTTTTAATTACTAATTACACAGTCCTTCCCTTGAGTTCTTCTGCCTAAAATCTATATTGCCTCCCTAAGATTTTAAATATAAATGATTGAAACTCATAACAAGTTTACCACAATTTAACCTTAAGATATTATTATTACGTTTTTATTCGATCATACGGTATTAAAATGTAACACTTACGAAGTTAATAAATATTAACTATTTGTATTTAATCATTTAATAATTATTCTGATAGAAACACGCTTGATTTTTTATTTTAGAGATCATACAGGCTATAATCATTAATATGACTATATAACAATACTTGAATTAAAATTTATTTGAAGGAATGCTATTTGAAGTATTAACTCGGAATAACTATTAAAAACTGCTCATCGCGTTATCGATGTCGGCGTCTTGTCACTGTTGTCTGGCTGATTGGCCGTTTAGGTACTTATAATTTGATTTTAGATAATGCAAATTTTAATGTGCCATTTGTGGATTTTTTATTGGATTTTTTTTACATATTTGGTATACTCTATGAAGTGCTCATGTCCATTTTTCAATTATTAAAGTGCCTATTTAGATACATTTAAAGTTAATTAATTAGTGTATAGTAATTGAATTATGGGTTTGTTTATTTTTTATGAAATGTATTTTTTTTCTATTAAAATAAACATAGCTTTACTTACAAAATCACTAGCTAGCCATTTTTAAATACAGGGTGTTAATTAAGTAGTATCTGGCCAACTTCAGGAGGTGATTCTTTGAGTGTTTTTAAGGTAAAAAGTTAATTTAAACATGTGTCCGGAAATGCATAATTTTAAAGATACAGGGTGTCAAGATGTTTCCTAATAGACATTTTTTTATTAATATCTCAAAGATCCGTTGGCTGATTTTATTGAAATTTCGCCGTGTTGTGAACTTTGATAAGTTAGCACTAATTAAATGATAACAATTATTATTTACAACAATATTCAAACGGTAAAAACTTATCAACTTATCCCAATAAATATTTGACAACGCCTTGGATTCATTTGTTTTAACGCCTGTTGGCGGTGGAAACCATGCAAGCTTTTTCTTTGTCCTAAGTTGTTAATTAAAAAAATAATAATCATATAAAAAAATATGGTAATAAGTCTAAATTTTTTATTTATGTGATTCTGCTCTTTTTCGTATAATTTGCCACTTACGGAAATAGTTAGATTAAAATAGCCAAACTGTACCTAACAACCCATGCCTTGACATATTTCCTTTTAAAATAATATCGCTTTCTTTATCCGCCGGTCCAGATTTGAACGGCCTTGCCCTGTTCGCTCATGCAGGCTCTATCGACTTAAGTACGTGTTGACAGGCAGGTTATTGAACCCATGTTGCTTCTAGCATGTCGTTTTTTCAAAGATGGGTCCCATATAAACGCGGCCAGAAGTATTTTCAATACTAAAAAAATTTTCGAGAAGGAAGCGACTTTCTCAGTGATTTTACTCCACTATTAAACAATTTGATTTAATTAACTTCGATATTTTATGTTCAGTTTCATTTTTAATGATGCCATTCTGCCGAAACTGTGATACTGTTGTTCTTTGACCTGTACCTTTTTTGAAAAGGACAGTCTTTTTTTGGAACAAATTGTCCTTTTGACTTTTTTTTACCTAAATAGTCCTTTATTTTATTTACGTATTTTCCCTGAGAAAATTATTTACAGCAACCAGCAATA